TGTATAGTATAAATTAAATTGAAATATTTAATTAAGAAGGCAGCAACATTTCCTTCCGCCCCGGGCAGCCGCTACGCCACTGTCAACTTGACAATTAGACTCAAAGCTTTCAAGAATATATGATATGAAAGCCAGGGTACAAGTAGTAGTAGATTTTCCAGGACGAAATCCATGCTGGTCAGTTACTAGTATATGGTTAAGACTTCTTTTGATATTAGTGTATACAATAGATTCAGTTTAGAAATGTGGAGAGGATGGAAATAGGCCTGTAGTTAGAAACAAGTGAGGGATCATCAGATTTAAAAACAGAAGTAACAGAACAGGTCTTTCACACAGCAGGAAATTTACCCTCGTCGAGTAAGCGTCTAAAAAGCAGGAATATATGATACACTATAGAATCTTGACAATTAAAAAAGTAAACGCGCAGAAATGCCATCAGGACCATTAGAATTGTTGTTTTTTAATGGAGTTAAATGCAAGTTGTACATCATCAAATGTGAAGTGGTAATTAGAAGGAAACTCGAAGGGAAAGCTATTTTTTTTTTATGAGGATTAAAAGGTGAAGTAATAAAGAATTTATACATGGAATTGAAGTACTTAGATAGCAAATTAGCAGAATCACGAGGATTGTCAACCGTAGTGTTATCCCAACGTAAGGTGGAGGGTAACGCGTTGTGCTTGGTTAAATTTTTAGTATAGTTCCAAAAAGAAGAGGGATTACGCGTGAGCGAAATTTCTGTATGTTTTATATAGGACTGATAGTCTATCTTAGATGTGCGTTTGCATTTCACGCGAAGCTCAGAAAAAGCTAAGTAGTCTATAGGCAATTTAGACCGTTTAAAAAACTGCATGGACACGTTTTTCCTTCAAAACAAGATTTTTTAATGTTATGATTTTTTATAATTTGATATATAGAGAGTAAATATTGAAGATAATTAAATGAACAATAATTTTACTATTATGCATATGCACCATGTACATGGGTGCCCAGGGGCTAAGGCACCCATTGAAATTATTGAGGGGCTTGGCACCCTTAGAATATTGGATATTTATAACGTGTATTTATTATCTCTTAAAACTTTGTGTGATAATTATGCAGTATTAATAGAATTTATTGATAATATTTCAAAGGAAAAAAAATGAAAATGGAGCAAAAGCCAGTGGTATAACAAACATTTACTTAATTTTGACTTTTTATTTTATACGAAAGTAATGATTATTATTTTTGAAGGATTGAAATCCTAAATGCAGAACTTTAAAGAATATTTTTAAGTTTTCAAGAAACACAATTAAAAATTGAAAACATTATCATAATCGTGAAAAAACTAAGAGATACGGGATTTTATGACATAGGAACAAGTTTCAGTAAAATCTAGTGAGCTAATAAACTGAAAAAGCCAAATAAACTGAGAATAAAAAAAAATTATAAAAAATTATTTCAAGGTAATAGTGAAGGGCATACATTTTCATCAGTTAGAGAAAAATATAAAATTACATTTTACGAACTTCTAGATGTTACATCAGTGGCGTACATTCAATCTTGCTCAGGGGGGGGGGGGGTTAACAAAAATAATCTTTATCTTCTTTTTTTTCGTTGCACAGATAAATAAGATAAATAACTGCTATAAATAGATATTATTTTATACAACTTTTTTACCAATTTACAGTTTATTTTTTACATTACAGTAAATTAATAGCTATTGGAATATAAAAACAGCGTAGTTAACAAAACTTTTCAAACACCTATCAATATAATTATTTAATTATCATAATATTTGTATAGTTGTATATTTTAACCCTCCACAGGCAAGGCTACAAATCCCAACAGATCAGACAAGGGCGGTCACGGGTGACCAATGTAATTTTATATTAGAAATAATCAAACTTTTTTTATAAAAACTGAGGTATAGCAGATAAGCAAAAATATATCAGGCGATATATTTATAAAATATCTATAAAAGGGTATGGGATAAACCGGTGGATAGTAGTTTATGTTATTATCTAGTTATTAGAGTCATATCTCAGTCCGGTCACCCGTGACCGGGCCTTGCCTGTAGAGGGTTAAGTTCAAAGCGTAATAATGAATATATTACATATTATTATTACTACGAATATATTACACATCAATAATATTATAAAACAATTTTTCTTTTTTGGCCCTGGGGGGGGGGTTTGAACCCGGAAATCCCCCTCGTATGTACACCATTGTGTTACATTATCATAATTAAATAAACGATTTCAAAAAAAATTAATCATTTATGCGAACTTCAAAAATGTATAATTGGTAAAGAAAAAATTATAACATATGTTCCTTTTATGGGATTGATAATTGAATAGAGATATGTTTCTATATATTTTAAAATCAAGTAAAATTACTATAAACAATATACAAGATGCTATAGATGTATTTAAATCGGATAATTCGGTTGGAAGTATTTTAAGAGTTTAATTAACTTCTAAAAATTATTTCGACGGTTCCAGTATCGTCCTGTACTGCGGAAAGATCTTTTTAAGCACTACGAAGATTAAACATCTTTAAGGTCCACAACGACACAAAATCGTTTTAGCGATATTGCTTTATTGCATGTCCATCGTAATGAAGATATAGATATTGAGCAAATAGCTAACTCATTCACAAATTCAACTAATATACGTTGAAATACATTTTTTATGTAAACAGTCAAATTAAATCAATTTTTTTGTTTTACTTATTATTATTTATAAATAAGCTATCAATTTGGTATACATTTATTTGGTCTATGATTATTAATTAATTTAGTGTACAATATGATTAATATTGTTATATATTTAATATTTATATATACTAATAAAAATTTAAATGTTTTTAGTTAAGTAGTAAAATCATAACACCAATATGTGCAATTTGGAAAGCAAAAATTAAAATTTTAGAAGATTAAATTGTAACTAGCCCCCAAGGCAATTTCATTCATTTAAATTTTAGGTGGACATTGTTATTGATCAGGGGCTAAGCCCCATCTTCCAAATTGTGCATTTATGCTTATGATAAAAAGGTCAGACAAGGCACCCATTAAGTTTTTTAAAACCTGGTGCCTATAATATTATTATTTACTTATTAATAAAATGTACTATATCCACAACAAATTGTAAATACAGTGAAATGATGACGGTGAATAGTCGCACAGTGAATTATCACGCGGTAAATTATCCGCGATCCATTATTTTAATTAGATAAATATTTTAAACCGTTTGAATTCTTAGTGAAGTCCACTTGTAATCAATTTTCACGCATTTTTTAATATCCCGGTAAATTTCATTAAAATAATAATAATATATATATATATATATATATATATATATATAACAATAAATAAATAATTTATTAATTAAAAATATTATGGCTTGGTTTCACAATTTTAGAGGAAACAAAAGAGAAAAATATGAGTCGATATTAAGAAGACTTGAATCTCATTTCAAATTGATTTATAAAATCTTAATAACATCACCATGTTGGTCTGTGTGTTTGACAGAGGATATATCTAATTTAAAATGTCACATTTGCAATAAACAATAATAGACAATAGTATTGTATCACCATGATGATATTGCTAAATAATATTAAAAATATTACTCTTGTATAAATATAATTAACTGAAATATGTAAAAACTATCCAAGTCTTCCTATATCTTACTTTAACCATGTTTACTTAAAAATATAATTTTTTTTTTAATAAAACAAATATAAGAATTGCAAATTAAACTATCCAATAATTAATTTTAACTGTAATTAATAATTAGTAATATTTATTTGTTTTTATAAGATTATTAAAAATGCTTAAAATGTCAATAAACTATTTTTTTAGCATACACACAATTTTACTGTAGAATCTAGAATTTATAAATTTACATTTAGTATTAGACAAATATTATGAGTATAAAAATAGTAAGTGTTACAAGTAGGTGCTAAGTATATGTATATACAATTTAATATTAGAAAAACTAATCAAATATATCAGATACTTCAATAAAAAAAGAAAAAAAAAACAATAAATATAAAAAATTAAAGCATAAATCTATAAGTTTTAAATAATACTTAAATACAGGTTATAATAAAAGTTATGATATAAACTAATCAAATAACAATTTTCTAAATAGTAATTAAAATATATCTCTCATAACTCAAATTATTTATAATTTTGAACATAAATCATAAATAGCTAGTAATTTGTTTTCCCAACAATATTTTAAAATTATAACTACTAAGTGTAATAACATATCATTTTTTTAATGTTTATACCTGTAATAAAAATAAAAAATAAATAGTTTATACATTTAATAATATTGCTAATAAATGTACTAAATTGATGAATTTTTTTTTGAAAAATGTATCGTAAATTTAATTGAATATATATATTAGGGTGGCTCTTATTTTAGAACTTTATTTTTTTTTTATTTTTCACCCTCTCATTTTGTTCATTATAAAAATAAATTTGAGTTAAATTTGGCCATGATTACTAACCTCCTTCACATGCTACCAGAGGGTTGAACAATTTCGAAATAGGTTTGGGTTTTCTTTTTTTGAATATAATCAATTAACTATTCAACTAATCATAAAAATTTACATAACTTAAATTATAGATATTTATACTTTTAATAAAAATATATATAAAAAATGTACATATCTATAATTTAAGTTGTGTACATTTTTATGATAAGTTCAATACTTTATAGATTATATTACAAAAAGACAAACCAATTCTATTTTGCAATTTTTCAACCCCCGGGAGGCATGTGAAGGTGGTTAGTAATCATGGCCAAATTTAACTTAATTTTCTTCCATATAATAATGAACAAAATAAGGGGGTAAGAAATCAAAAATATTAATTTTTCTTCTTCATCTATAACTAAAGGCCACTTTAACATATATATTATACTTGGAGTGACCCTAATATTATACTTAATTATACTAATTATAATTTTTTTATGTTTATTATTTATTGCAAAATACATAAATAGATTACCTTTTATAAAGAGGACATTCATAAGTCAAAAATCTCATCCAACATTCTATTTTGAGTTTAAAACCACAAGATAAGGTTCTGAAAAAAAAAGTAATTTACTAAATTATATAAATAAAATATTTATCTATTTTTATTTTATTATGAAATAAATACCTTGAATACTCTTTTTTACATCGATACAAGGTTTTGTGTGATTGGTCATAATAATGACATAACTGTGAACAATGATGACCACAATCCATTATCATGTTACATACTTTTAAACATTGAACTTTATCAAAATCTCTACTACTAGATACATTTATGGTCCAATCCTTATGAATTTCACAACGTAAACCTAATTTGTTGCCTGTAAATAATTTTAGTATTATATTTAAAAATGAATAAATAATAGTTCTATTTATCACCAAGAGATTGTTGATTAATTAATATTAAACTGATTTCTTTCCATATAGAAGAATGTATAAGATTATCCATGTTTCCCATAACATATAATCCATTTCTAGCTCTAGATAGAGCAACACAAATGCGATTCTGAATATTTAAAAATCCAATATTATTATCAATGTTGCTGCGTACTAAAGACAACAAGATAATATCATTTTCTTCACCTTGAAAACCATCTACACATTCAATCCGAAAATCTTCTAAAACTGAACTTGATTCACGGATCTAGAAGTAAAATAATATAAAATAAGACTAAATTATGAATAAAAAAAACTTTATGCATAATTTTGTATTTCATATTTTCGGTTAAATATATAATTTTCACACAAATTACAACTAACTAGAGATCAAACAATTTACTAAAATAAAGAATAAATACAGTAGAACTTCAATTATCTGTTCTCTCACTAACCATTTTTCTTGATTAATCACTACTATTTGCACTGAAAGAATAAGTGATATGACAGCCAAAAAAGCATGTGGTATAGCCAAAAAAAAAATTAATAAACTTTTTAATCTTATAATTGTAATTACACATGTAATAAATAATTATTAAAAATATATGAATGTATGACTGGTAAATAAATGTATAGTAAATTGAAAAAAATAATGAATAATGCATGCCATTGTAGCGTGCCATCAGTTCAACCATTAAAGAATGGATGTGAGAGGATAAGTTTATTAAATAATTACTAGACTTTAAATATTTACTATTTATTTGACAAATTATTCTAAGTCCAAAAACATTTATTAACTGAACATATTTCTAAGTACAATAAATCATTAATCTATCTAGTGTGAAGGTGCTTGCTAAGCTTGGACTAAAACACATCTGAATATTGGTCTATTCTAACCCCCCTTATATACTCTGATTCTGTGGGATAAATTAATAAATAGAAATATTATAAATAGTTTACTTTTTGTAATTCTAATAACTCTTCACGATAAGTAACTAGTAAAGTAATTTGATGTTGATGATAACCTTGACTAAAAAGATATCTGGCGAACTTCATAAAAAAATTTACTTCATGACTATTTTTGTAACTATTAGAACCAATCACCTATAAATTTAAACATAAATAAATTGTTATAAAATAATACCACAATTAAATGTTTTCAAATATATAATATCAGATAACTATTAATAATGATCACATTGATATTAGTATTTATAATCAATGATAGAATATTAAAATAAAACATTTAAATTATTATAACATTATAAACTCTTACCAAAGCTTAAAATAAATTCTCTATAGCAGAAATTTTTAATAGGATTTTGGAAAAGGTCAAATATTAACTTTAAAAATTATTTTCAGGATACATAAATAATTAAATTAAATATATTAATTGATATAATGATTATCAAATTAAAAAAATAAATTATACTATTTTACAAATAGTTTATACAAATCATTAAATTAATTATCATTAAATTAGAATAATTATTATTGTATAGTTATATTTATTTATAATTTTGATATTGATTATTAGATTTTTTTTGATTTTATGATATTTTAATGTTAATGAACAAAATCTTTTTCTTTCATGATCTTGATAATGTTTACAGGTATTTTTGAAATTATTTATATTCAAATTAATATACTATCAACACAATATGTATGCTATAATGCATACAGAAAAAAAATAAATGCTGATTAAATAATTTTAAAATATATCTAATACCTATTTCATTGTTAAAAAAGTTATTCAATTGAAGTTTTTTTTTTAGTATACCATTTTGACAAAAATATTGCATCAATGTAATAAGATCACACAAATATCTAGTTTTATATTTTTTTACAATCAAGATCTTAAAATGTACTGTATAATTTTAGAATAAATTGAAAATTATTTGTAAAAGAATCATAAAGCAAATACTAATACTCTATAGGTATTACCATTGATTATAAACGCTAGTATTTATAATCAATGGTATTACTTACTTTTTCTTCGTGTATATTATGGTGAATAAAATATATATTCTTAGTTACTCCACGTATATCACTTCTATCCTTAACTATTTCATGATCCCTTAAGAATGGATAAATAGGTTTTATTAAAGCAGATATTTCAGGACGCATTCGATGTTGTGTATCTAAGGTGTAACATGGAAAACCATTTTTCACCATACGTTCAAATAATGAAACATCAAGATTAAAGAGTTTTGAAAGCCTAAAAGATGCAGTTCTTGGACGTAATTGTTTATGATCACCTAAAATCAAAGACATGTATTTAAAAAAAATTATAATTTATTATGAAATAATAAACTTTAAAATTAAATTTGACTTTATAGTTATAAAAATCACAATATAGATTTTAAATTTATTTGCATAGCAATACTTATCAGAAATTATATTAGTATGATAACTAAAATAAATTCATAGCATTTTTTCGAGATTGATGATTTTTTAAATTAAAAAATTAAAAATATATAAAACTACCAATTTAAAATCTACTATTTTTTTTTCCACTTCAAAGTTCAAAAGTTAAAGTTGCCTTCAGTATAAATGTTATATACAAAATTATAAATAATATTTGGTAATAAAATTATAAACAAAAATATTAAACACCTTGATTTAATATAATATTAAATAATTTACTCAAAAAATATTTAAAAAAGTTTTTGAATACTTTAGATTAAAAGATTAATAATACATACCAATTAAAATTACATGTTGGCAAAATTTCGTTAGAGATGCAACTACATGTGATTCTAAGACTTCAGCAGCTTCTTCTACAATAACTGAAATTCAAATCAGTTATTCAATTTTTTTTTATATGTATTTATAATCTAGTTTAAAATTATTATTAAAATACTTGATTAAAAACTTATTGATATTTTAATAATTTATATCATCTGTATTTAATTTAAA